GCGGCGGCCGCGTCGCAGGGCGGCGCCGCCGCGGGGTCGAAGCTGGCGCTCCGAGGGTCGGCGCGCGGGTCTCGAGCCGAGGCGCCGGCCATGCGAGACGGACGGTCGGCGGGATTGAGCTCCGAGGGGACCCACCGGACGGTCACCGACATGTCCCCAAGGATGCTTAACGCGGCGGCCTCGCGGCACGTCCTGTTCACGATGGGAGCGGCCGCCCGGCCCTTCCCCAGGGCCAAGACGAGGCCCAGGTTGTCGCACAACATGAGCAGCTTGCGCCCCCGCCGCGAGACGGCTCGAAGATGGTGCCGAATGCCGATCACGAGCCCGTGCCCCTCGAGACGGATGATGTTCTCGGCTCGGTTGAACCTGCCCTTGACCCGGAGCTGCCACGATTCGAAACTGCCGACGTGCTCTGATGTGATCTGCTCGAACGAGACGGTCCCCGAGTACATGTCCCCGAACGCCCGGTCGAAGTCCGAGGCAGGCGGCGGAGTCCTCGCAAGAGGCGTACCCGAAGGCGGACACGAACTTTTACCAGCACACGATAGAGAGGCGGCAGGCGGGCACTCCGACAGCCCGAGAGCGTGCGCCCGAGCTGAGACTGCCTCGGAGACGCGGTAGCGCCACCGCTCGGCCTGCGCACAGGCACGGCCGACGTCACGCGGGTCCCAGGCGCGGCTCACCACGCCGAACCCGCCAGCATCGGCGTCCGTGGCCCCGCAGGCGTCGGTCGCCAGCACCACGGGGTCTGGCCGGCGGCGGCAGTCCACGTAGCCGAACACGACGAGCGCTGCGGCGATGCGAAGCTCGGCCTCCACGGCGCTCCACAGGCGGCGCCGCCGCCCACCGGCCCAGGTCGCGAACCGGTAGGCCGCCGAGAAGATCGACAGCAGCTCGCGACGCACCAGCGCGCCCCACGTGAAGTGGCCGAGGAGCACCCGCACCTCGTCGCCGGTCGCCGAGCCGCGGTCCGCGACGTGCAGCAGGCTCAGCCGGATGCGCCACATGCGCCGGCGACTGAGCCCAACGCGGCCCTTCGCCTCGTCAAACACCAGGCCGGTGAACGTTGCCTCTGCACTGGGCCCCTCGAGCCCCTTGCAGGTCAGGCCCGCAGCGTCCAGCGAGTCGCGCACCCGCTGCCCCGTCTCCAGGGTCTCGGCGTAGTCGAGCCCGACCACGGCAGCACCGTCGACGTAGACGGCCGCGGCAGGCCCCTCCTCGAGAGCAGGAGTGGGGTGTCGGTCCCGCGCCAGCCGCTCCCAGGCCAGGCCGCTGCGGAGCACCTGCGTCTCCACCATCTGCTGGCAGAAGAAGAGGCTCCAGTTCCAGCCCATTGCGAGGACCACCAGCCGAGGCGACGCCTTCCGCCAGGCGGGCAGCTGCCCCGCCAGGTCGGGCCTCTCGGCCCGGAGCACCTCGAGGTCAACCGCGGGGAGCACGAAATGTTCGCGTAGCCCAGGCGGCGTGGCGATCCTGTAGAACGCGTTATCCACGTCCATCTGGGCTAAGTGGAGGGACTTGCCTTCTGGCACGACCAAGCTGCTCCAAGCCCCAGCCGTCGGCAGCTCCGAATATGCCGGGGGCCGGAACCGCATGTTCGCCACCCGCGTGTCCGCGATCATGCGGAGGGACCGCTTGTCGCTCTTGAAAACGAAGAAGATGCCCACCGTGCTCTCGGTCCGCTCGCCGAGGTCGATCAGGCCTCGGCTCAGCAACTCACCAACAACTCGAGAGTAGGTCTTCATGCAATGCACTAATTTCGGGTCGGAGAAAGGGCGAAGACGAGGACCATCGGGCGGCCCTCCTTCGCGAAGAAGATGCTTCTGCCATCCTACCCACAACTCGCGGGCACGACCTGTCAAGCAGTCAGCGCCAACGCACTGCCCGCCAGCGGTCGGCAGGGAGACCAGCCCCTCGGTGTAGGAGGCTCGGCGCACGGTGTCTTCTGCATATCCCGGCAAGTGAGAGCACAGCTCAGCATGGGCTGCCGCTCCTGAAAAAGGTGGAGGCCCGGCCTCCTGAATGATCTCGCGGACGTGGTCGATGCCAGCGAGCTGGGCGCACGAAGCCTGAAGATCCCGACGAGGAGCCCCATGCCCGTACAGCGAATTCACTGCGTGCAAAGCCTCTGAGAGCCACTGCGCGGCGTACTGCCCCTGCCGCGCTCGTGAACGCACCGCCCGGCACCCCCGGCTGGCCGAGTCGCGACCAGGGCCGGGCACCGGGCAGGGCAGCAGCTCCCGGGCGACCACCATGGGCTACTGGCCCCCACCCCCGCCGGCGCCTTTGCTGCCGGTCTGGGGGCCCTTCAACTTCGCCTGGAGCTTGCTGATCTCCGCGGCCTGCGCGGCCACCTTGTCCTGCAGCGCCTTGTTGCCGCCGCCGCCGCCGCCGCCAGAGCCCTGGCCCCGCGACAGCATCCGCTCCTCGCGGAGCTTCCTTTTCTCCTTCATGAGCGTCGCCTCCTTGTGCAGCTCCGCCTGGATGTGCTCGACGAGCGTCGGGCACACCATGAGAAGCCCCCTCGTCTCCGAGGTCCCCATGTACAGGTACTCGTCCTCCAGGTACTCGTCGCCACTGCTCTTCAGCAGCCGCTCGCGGTGCCTCCACTCCGCCAGCTGAGCGCGGCGGACGAGGAGCTCCACCAGCGCCAGCTCCGTCAAGTTGAGCTGGTCAAAGCCGGCGCCCAGCTCCAGTGCCCGCATCGCCAGCTCGTGGTCGGAGACGCCGACGTCGGCCGCCCCGAGGCCGCACTCCGCGCGCCACTTGGTGTGGCGGGCGCGCGGATGCGAGTCTTGCTCCGCCAAGAAGCGGACGCACCACAGCGCGGTGCGGGGGCCCTTCACAGGCCACCCCGTCCAGGGCGTCTCCGACATCCCCCGCACGGCGTCTTTGAAGACGCGCCGCCTCTCGCCGTCGAGCCCGTGCAGGATGGGCATGACGCGCGCATCCATCGAGCTCTCCGCCTGCTTCTCCGTCACCGCCTTGGCCAGGTAGACCTTGCCGCCCGCCTTCACGACCGCGAGGGAGTCGCACACCGCGTACCACTCACAAGCGTCGAAGTCGGCCAGCACGTTCACGTCGCTGTCGTCCTCGCTAGCGGTGATCAGCCACCGCCTGTTCTCACTCGCCACCAGCTTCCCTGAGCCCCGGGCGAGCCCGTCAGAAGGAGTCGCTGTCCCATCCACCCGCGGCGGCCCCTCCGGCGGCGCTGCCAGCGCCACCTCCTCCCCCTCCGGCCTCGCGTTGCAGGACCCGAGGAGCTCCATGAACTCGAGGGGCGAGGGATGCCACTGGGCGCCGTAGCACGGGCGGGGTAGCCGGCGGCCGTCCCCGCCGATCCGCTCGCGCCAAAGCGGCTGGCCCGTCCGATCGCACGGCACCATCGCGTGGAGCGGAGGCACCTCGAGCTCGTGCGGGTAGATGTCCTCGTCCGGGGTCGCCGCCATCCACAGCGGGCTCGTCGGACTCGTCGGAGGTGTCCCGAGCTCGTGCTCGAACTCGTCGGCGTCGCACAGGCGCAGCAACAGGCGGCTCTGATAGTCCTCCTGCGCCCGCCACTGGACCAGCAGGCGCATGCCAGCGCGCAGGACCAGCGCCATGCCAGACGACGCTCGCCACCAGCGTGCAGGTCGCGCAGCAGCAGCAGCCGGCCAGCACGCCCACCAGGAAGATGATGAGCAGAAGGATGCGCGTGCCGCCCAGCTGCTCTGCCGCCGCCGCCAGCTGCCCGGCCTCGAAGGCCAGCCCGCCGATGCGCCGCGCCCAGTCGGCCGCGAAATGGCCGATCGCGGCAACGCCCGTCTGAGAGGCGAGATTCTGAAGCATGCGGCCGCCGCTCTCTGAAAGGCTTGGGCCGAGCACGGCAATGGAACGGACGTGTAAGCGGTTCCAGCCGAGCAGCGGCCGAGCGATTTGGACAGGCAATCACGTTCACAGAGCTAGACAGAGACGGAGAAGACGAAGGAGGAGACGGAGGAGGAGGAGGGGGAGGAGGAGGAGGAGGAGGAGGAGGAGGAGGAGGAGGTGGAGAGGAGGAGGAGGGGGATGATGATGATGATGATGATGATGATGATGATGATGAGCTGATGATGATGAGATGATGATGATGATGATGATTGATGATGATGCGGTGATGTGATGAGATGATGATGATGATGATGATGATGATGGATGATGATGGGAGGAGGAGGAGGAGGAGGAGGAGGAGGAGACGGGGAAGACGAAGGAGGAGACGGAGGAGGGGAGGGGGAGGAGGAGGAGGAGGAGGGAGGAGGAGGAGGAGGTGGAGGAGGAGGAGGGGGATGATGATGATGATGATGATGATGATGATGATGATGATCGAATGATGATGATTGATGATGATGATGATGAGGATGATGATGATGCTGATGATGATGATGATGGTGATGGTGATGATGATGATGGATGATTGATGATGATGATGTGTTGAGATGATGATGCATGATGATGATGATGATGAGCTGATGATGATGAGATGATGATGATGATGATGATGATGATATGATGATGATGATGATGATGATTGATGATGATGGTGGTGAGAGGAGGAGGAGGAGGAGGAGGATTTTTGGAGGAGAAGGAGGAGGAGGAGGAGGAGGAGGAGGGAGGAGGAGGAGGAGGAGGAGGAGGAGGAGAGGAAGAGGAGGAGGAGGAGGAGGAGGAGGAGGAGGAGGCAGGAGGAGGAGGAGAAGAGGAGGGGGAAGGGGAGGAGGGGGAGGAGGAGGAGGAGGAGGAGGAGGAGGAGGAGGAGGAGGAGGAGGAGGAGGAGGAGGAGGAGGAGAGGAGGAGGAGGAGGAGGAGGAGGAGGAGGAGGAGGAGGAGGACGAGGAGGAGGAGTAGGAGGAGGAGGGTGAGGAGGAGGGAGAGGAGGAGGGAGAGGAGGAGAAGGAGGAGGAGGAGGAGGAGGAGGAGGCGTGCTCCGCCTGGGGCCTGGCCTTCTCCCTCTCCTCGTTCGCCTTGCGCTCGGCGCCGCGCGCCAGCGCCGAGCCGGGCCTCGCGTCCGAGCCCTGCTTCGCGGCGTGGATGGAGCGCGTCACCCATGCGGCGCGCCGGACCTGCAGGGTCGTCGGTCATCGGTCGCCGGTCGGTCGTCGGTCGTCGTCGTCGTCGTCGTCGTCGTCGTCGTCGTCGTCGTCGTCGTCGTCGTCGCCGCCGCCGCCGCCGCTGCCGCCGCCGCCGCCGCCGCCGCCGTCGCGCCGCCGCCGCCGCCGCTGGGACAGCGTAGACGTACTTTGGACGACCGCCGTACTGTGAACGATTTCGCCAGCAAGGCGGAAATGTCCGCCCTGCTTTCCAAACTCCGTTGATGCCGATTTCCGCCCTTCTTTGCCGTCGCTGTTCCGCCATGCCTCTGCGGTAATATCCGCCCTGTTTTCCTGAGGCGGACATATCCGCCCTACGTTTTCGCACTGCCTGGGATGAATGTTCGATACAATTTCCAATCGGAAAATCAGCCGACCCCTTGTCAGTCTCCAGGCGTGCGAAATGTCCCCCCCAGCCTCTACTGTCCGTCCCCAGGGCCCCCCAAACTGCGGGTTTGACCCCGCCCCCGGGCCCCAGACGACCCCAGGACGACCCCCGGGTGAACTCACCAGGGTGGTCTGGCCCTCCCCAGGCCGTTTCTGCTGCTCCTAAAAGGCGCCAAAGGGCTCTAGGACAGCCCAAGAGAGCCAAAACAGCACCAACATAATCCAAGATAGCGTCGAGACGGCCCAAGGTAGCTAAACGGCCCACGAGGCCCTGAAAACTGTCCAAGAGTGCTCCCAGAGGACAGCCGAAAGGGACCCCAATAGCGAAATAACCGACCACTCCGCTTGCAACACACACACACACACAAACACACACACACACACACACACATACACACAAACACACACACACAAACACACGGACGCACGCGCGAACGCACGCACGCACGCACGCACGCACGCACGCGAACGCGAACGCACGCACGCACGCACGCACGTACGCACGCACGCACGCACGCACGCACTTCACGCACGCACTTCACGCACGCACTTCACGCACGCACTTCACGCACGCACGTCACGCACGCACGCACGCACGCATGCACTCACTGCTCGCACTGCACGCACTGCACGCACGCACGCACGCACGCATGCAAGCACGCACGCACGCAATCCTGCCCGCAAGCACGCACGCACGCACGCACGCACACACACACACAGGCAACGCACAGCAAGCCGCACGCACGACACGCACGCGCGAACGCACCGCACACACCACACACACACACACACCACGGACACGGACGCACGCACGCACGCAAGCACGCACGCACGCACGCTCGCACGACGCAACACACACACACACACACACACACACACACCACACACACACAACCCACAACACACACGCACGCACGCACGCACGCACGCACGCACGCGCACGCACGCACGCACGCACCCACGCACGCACGCACGCACGCACACACACACACACACACACACATACACATACACACATACACACGCGCACACACACACACACACTCACACGCGCACACACACGAACACACACGCACACACTTTTAGTGAGCTCGTCTCTTTCATCCTGACAGCGCCCAAGACAGCCAGAGGGCACCGAAGAAATCGCCCACAGGCACCCCATGATGCCTCCAGGGAGCCCTGAAACGCCACAAAAGGGCCCGAAGGCGGCCCCAAGGGCTTTCAAAACGGCCCAAGAGAGCCCTACGAGGGCCCTAAGACGTTCCCAAGAGAGGGAACACGAACTTGCATTTCAAGCCTTGCTCCCCAAGATACCGCAGAATGCCCACCAAGAGACTCCGAGGCGTCCCCGAGGGGCCCCAACTGGCTTCCAAAGGAAGGGGCTCCCGCCTGAGACTTCTTCGCACTTCGCCCACAAACGAGGTCCCCGCTCGAGACGTCCTCACGGTTTGCGCCCCTGGGGTGCACAAATGCTGACCCGCTCGGATTGCTAACGTGACCTGCGGGCCCCATAGGGAGGTGGCTCCCACATGAGACTTCCTCACAATTCACTCACAGACGAGGCTTCCGCTCGAGACATGCTCACGAGTTGACTCTTTGGGGTGCGCAAGTGCGATGCCTGGCATAATGTACCGACGACCCGCTCGGATCACTAACACGATCTGCGGACCCCATGAGGAGGAGGCTCTCGCCTGAGACTTCCCTGTGTCTGACTCACAAACGATGCCCCCCGCTCGAGACGTCCTCACGATTTGCGCCCTTGGGGTGCACAAATGATGCGCCTGCTACATTCGGCCAATGACCTGCTCGGAATGCAAGCATGATCTGCGGGCCTCCTGGGTCCCGCCTGAGACTTCCTGGACATTCACTCGCAGACGAGGCCCCCGCTCAAGATGTCCTCACGATTTGCCCCCTTGGGGTGCTCAAGTGATGTGCCTGCTGCACTAGCAAATGGCCCGCTAAGATTGCTAACATGATCTGCGGGCCCGATAAGCAGGGGGCTCTCGCCTGAGACGCCTTCGCAATTCAGTCAAAAAACGGGGTTCCAGCCCGAGACATCCTCACGACTTGCGCCCTTGGAGTGCACAAGTGGAACGCCTGCTACAATAAGCCAATGGCCGCTCGGACTCTTACTGCGAACAGCAGGTTCCATAAGCAAGGGGTTCCCGCCCGAGACGTCCTCGCAATTCCCGTGGAGACGGGGCCCCCGCTCGAGACGTCCTCACGGTTCGCGCCCTCGGGGTGCACACGTGGAGTGCCTGGTAGGGTATCCCGATGGCCCGCTCGGATTACTGACATGATCTGCGGGCCCCGTAGGGAGGGGGGGCTCCCACCTGAGACCTCGCTGCAACTCACTTGGAGACATCCTCGCGAGTTGCTCCCTTGGGGGGCTCAAGTGCGATGCCTGGTAGAATATACCGATGGCCTGGCCAGATTAGTAACACTATCCGAGGAAGCCATGAGGAGGAGGAGGAAGAGGAGGAGGAGGAGGAGGAGGAGGAGGAGGTGGCTCTCGCCTGAGACTACTTCCTCGCATCTCACTCACAGACGAGGCCCCCCGCTCGAGACATCCTCACAACTTGTCCCCTTGGGGTGCACCAGCGCTATGCCTGGTCGAATATCCCCATGGCCCGCTCGTATTACCAACATGAGCTGCGGGCCTTATAGAAAGGAGGCTCCCGCCTGAGACTTCCTCGCATGTTAGTCACACACGAGGCCCCCGCTCGAGACATCCTCACGATTTGCGCCCTTGGGGCGCTCAAACGCTATGCCCGGTAAAGTGTCCCCATCACCCGCTCTGGGTACTAATGTGACCTGCGGGCCCCATAACGAGGGGGCCTCCCGCCTGAGACCTCCCTGCAATTCACTCAGACGCGAGGCCCGCGCTCGAGATGTCCTCCCGATGTGTGCCCTTGGTGTGCTCACATGGCATGCCTGGTAGAATATCCCGATGACCTGCCCAGATTACTAACATTATCCCAGGACCCCATGCGAAGGGGGCTCCCGCCTGAGACCTCCTCGCGGTCCGCTTTAAAAAGATGCCCCCGCTCGAGACGTCCTCACGACTTGTCCCCTTGGGGTGCACCAGCGCTATGCCTGGTAGAACATCCACATGGCCCGCTCGCATTACCAACATGAGCTGCGGGCCTCATAGAAAGCAGGCTGCCGCCTGAGACTTCCTCGCATGTCAGTCACACCCGACGCCCCAGCTCGAGACATCCTCACGATTTGCCCCCTTGGGGCGCTCAAATACTATACCCGGTAAAGTGTCCCGATCACCCGCTCTGGGTACATAAGGATGGGGGCTCCCGCCTAAGACTTCCTCGC